CGCCCCCGTCCTCCTCCTCGCCAAACTCCGTCCCATAGCATCCCTCACCATCGGATCACTCCTAATAGTATTATGCACCAACCACTCCCTCACCCGCCTCCACACCTCCCCCATCCCCTTCTCATCCCCCGCAAACGGCGCCAGCTCCAACTGCAACAAATTCGTCGCATCCGTATCCAACCTCCTGACCGTCCCCTCCAACCTCTCAAGCCCCTTCCTCAACTCCTGCTCCTCATTCCCCGTCCCCCTCCCACCCCTTCCCACAACAATGTTCCCACTCGTCGTATCAGCCGTCAGCAACGGACCAATCTGCGAAAAGGCCAGATACAGCGTCAACGCCAACTTCTTGGCCAGCGTAATCGCCTGAAACTGCAAATACGGCTGCCGGCCAGGAAACCAAGTAACAAAAGGGTTAATAAACTTTGTCAGCAAAACCGGCGGGTACGGTCTCGTGACGGCATGGCTCTCAAACAAAAACAGCAGCGCCAGCACCAACCACCTCTCAAACTTTCCCCAGTCCAGATACCCCAGCAACCCAAACCCGTACATCGACAGCGCCGCCAGCGTGTAGTACGGCACGATCCCCTTGAAGCCCCTGTACACATAATCCGCCACGCTGCTGCAATGCTGCCACCCCGTCACCGCCTCCGGCCCAAACCGATCGTAGGCAAACCTCTTGGCCCCGTTCGTCAACGTATCCTGCGCCAGCTGCAGGTGCACAAAATAGGTATTCGCATCGTCGGCAGCGATCTTGCTGTCTTTGATCTTGTCTGGATGGAAGTGCGCCGCCAGTCTCCGGAAGCGGGATTTGATCTCCTTCTCTGTGGCTGTCAGGGGGACTCCAAGGGAGGAGTAAAATGAGGGGGTGGATTGTATGTCATGATCGGCTTCGTAGATGGTATACAACAAATAAACCGTGACGACGGCAATGTGGATTTTGCGACGGTGTTCGGCCCATCGGGGGGTTCCCGGCGTGGGGTGGGGGTCGCCGGCGCGGATGAGGATGCTGTAGAGGATTGTTTGCATCCAGCCTGTTACCAGCTACGAGAGTGCGTTAGCTAGGAGAGCAACATACCCATTTCTACCCGCAAAACACAGAAAAAGGACTACCCGGGTCGATTGGTGATGACACTTGTAGAGTACAAGTGGCATCACCCAGCAATACAGGTCTTGCAAGTGAAGGGTGTGTGAAGCGGGTGTGAAGGGGGCCTACGTTGGGGAGGAAGCTCCAGGCTATCAAAGAGAGAAAGCCGGACATGGTTAGGTGGTGGTAGCAATGCCAGAGAGCAATCCAGGCGGTAGGAATAAATGTGAAAGAAATGCTGCTACCGTGTCATAATCTTTCATCTGCGCAAACAAAAGTGTTTGGTGGTGTTGCGGGAGAAGTGAATGGGAATGCGACCCAACCCTCGAAATGATGTCGCGTCACAAAAGAGCTTCTGCAAGCTGGCTGCAATTGGAAGTGTGGAGCACGGACCACCCTGGCCATCAAGGTTGCCACATGGCCGGCAGGCAGCTCAATATGAATGAATCAAAACAACGGACAGGAGAAATCACCAAATCTCGAAGTAAAAGCTCAACAATTGGGATGGGGAAGAAAGGGCCAAAAGCTCACCGGCCAACTCTTAGAGGTGAGTCGGCTACGAAACCCTCGGTAGGTTTACTTCGCAGGGGGATAGTCGAGGTGGGTGGGGGTCAATATTCCTTGAAGGTCATCTCGAAAGACAGGGCCTCACTGAGGAATCGAACTCAGGTGTCCACGGAGTAGTGTTTTCACACCGGGCATTGTTCGTTGCCTGATCCGGGTGCACCTACGTCTTACCTGCTGAGCCATCTGACCTTTCCAGTTACCAGATGAGTGCGTAGGCGCTTGGTGGAAGGAGCACGGTTGACCTAATATATAGACCATGGTTGTAAGAGTATTATATTTACACAAATGCCTGCCCTTCCCAGCTCCCTTTGCCAGTCTCCTGTTGCCATATATACCAGACACACCTTGCCGCCTCCACATACCCTACAATAAATAAAAAGAAAAAAGTATGCAAAACTAAACCGCTCGACGAAAACAACCATGGCCAAACACAGCTAGCTGCAAGTCGCAAAAAAACGCTCTCCAAAAGCACATACTAGAATGTTCAAGAAAAAAAGGTTCCCAAAAGTATCGCCCGCTCAATCAACCCCATCATCATCATCCTCCCTATCATACTCCCTCCTCGGCGTACTCGCACCACTCCCCATCCCCCCCCGCCTCGGTGAACTCGTCCCACTTCCTCCCTGTCCTAGTCTGGGACTGCTAATCAGCAACGGACTCCTCGCACCGGCACCCCATCGCCCATTAGTCACCACATTCATCGCTATCCTCTCCTTCCTCGCCCTAATCTCCTCCTGTTTCACCTGTTCAGTCTGCTCCTCTTCATCAATCTCGTTATCAATCTCCTCCAGCTCATCCTCCACCGTCCGCCCGGCGGGACTTAACCTCCTCAGATTAACATCCTGCTGCCCAGCTCCAAGCTCGGGGCTGACGGGATCGTCCACATAGAGGTTGGGATCGCGGCCCAGTATCCTGTCGGCTTTGCTTTGCGCCTTTCTGTGACCAGGAGAAGGCAAAGGTGACGGAACTCTGCTGGCCGGTCTGGAAGGCTGTAAATAATGTCTCCCTGCTCCGCCATCAACTCTCACCATGGGCGGTTGAGGATCAGGCTCAGGGTAATCCGAATCAGCTCCCCAGCCTGCCACCCGCTCTCTTTCCCGTTGCTGTTCCCGCTCTCTTGCGATCCTGTCTCTCGCCTCAAGCCACTCGGGACTGGGCTCCCAGCTCCAGCCATCGCCAGTCGTGTTGCAGATTGGAATCGGCCATAATAGCGGGACAGGGCCGAACAAATGAAGCAGGTTCCTCTTGGCGCCGAGGTCGAAAGCATTGGGAAGTTTGGTTGCATCCTGCTCGTCCATGAATTCTTCATAGCGCTTGCGGGCCCGGTACTGCTCCATTTCAGAGGGTGTAAATCTCCTCGAGCCAGCTTGCAACTCGGGGTTGACGGAGGGATGCGAGGGTTCTTGACGAAGTTCCTCGCCTTCTTCAGGCCGAGTGACACCCGGAATTGCGTTTTGATGAATATCGAGGAGTTGTTGACCGTAAGAAGGGAGCTGGACGCCTTGACCGGGAGTGTGTTGGTTGATGTAGGTCCTGTGCATGGATTCCCTGAGAGGGGTCAAATATCTAGTTTTCTCCAAGCACTCGATGGTTGTTTGGCCTCTGGTAGCAAGATAGATATGCCACCCTGTGAATGCCCCGACTACAATGCCGATGATACCGGCAACGATGGCAAGGCAGATGTAGTTAACTGGCATGAGATTCTCGACGTAAGTAGTGTTGGCGAAGATCTCTTCCCAGACCCAGCTGGCGGAGCCAAGGAAGGCGTATAGAGAGAAAATCGTGGTATAGATGAGAAAAAGGATGAAGGCCTTGTGGTTTCGGAGACCGATGCAGGTTGCTAGCCAGGGGCAGTGATGGTCCATCTTGAGGACACACCGGCGACAGGTGGAGCAATGATGGGCGCGGTCGGGCTTCCGAGCTTGGCATTTCTTGCAGAAACGGAGCTCGCCATTGGACTTGACGGTGTATGATGTGGCCGAAGGGGCGGCGTGGGTCGGTAGCGTGCTGTAGCCATGATCGTTCGTCGTGCTTCCCGGTGGTGTAAATACGGCAGTGGTGTAGCACCAGTTGAGCATGGCGTAGAGGGCAAAGCCAACAAGTTTATAAGTGGTTCCTATCGATAAGGCGAGACTCGTCAGTGTGGTTGGGTGACATCGAGGTAACAAGCAACATACCCAGCCATTCCACCCTCGATGGCACAGAGCAGAGATCCCACAACACATAGACGGCCCAAGTTGTTATCCCGTACACGAATGCCAAGGGAAAATACGTGGCGCAAGTGCAACATGTGCGCTCAATCTTTCTCGCCCACCGGCGAGCGCTTCCCATGTTTTCTGTCGAGGATTCGCAATCGTGGGATGGTGCTTCGAGAATAGGGGGAAACTGTCTGGTCGCGGAACGAGCAACTGGAAGGATCGGGGAGGGTGATGGCGGAGGGGATCTGGATAACGGCGTTGCATCCATCAGTTGTCGGTACAATCGGGGCACCGTGAATTATGGATTCATCGCTGGTGGTTCGAGTGGTGGACTTGTCGAGAAAAAGAACAAGGGGCAAGGCGGCTGGCTGTCAGTTTAGTGTTTGAAGTTGATGGCGACGGCAATTACAGGGGTCTCTCGCCTTGTGTTGCTGCCAGCCTCAGCCTCAAACACACTGAGCCAATGGGGTCCCCGCGTCACTGACAGCCCGGGACAACGCTCGGGCCGCATGAACGGTTTGGCCCCTGATTTCCGGCTTCACGGGACCGTTGAAGACTTCTATATAGAATTCTGCTTGCTACAGACGTGGGTGGACGATTGTACTTTGGTTTTGACTACTACATTACTCTCAAGAATATGCTGATCATTGTGGTTTGGCAAGAGAAGACCTACCTGTTAATTGAAATATCGAAACCTTGACTATGCTGTGACTGGCCAATTCTGTCCAGAGGCGCTCTTGGTATCTTAGACTGAGGGGGAATGCTTTAGCATCGAGCATAGTTTTGAACTACTACAGATATCCATGATCAATAGGAAGAAATGCCGGGAACGTAAAGTCAGGATTTTCCAGGTAGCCTCACCTCGCTCAGCATATTCGCCCCCCAGTAATGCTGCAAGTCAAGAGATTTGAAGCGAAAAAGCATGCCATTGGGTATCACCAGCTCAGACATGCAGTTGTTTCTGCGTTGTGGCATGGCGGTGAAGCTCTTCCGGCCAGTGCCAGCTGAAGTTCGGCGGAAATGCACTTGGCAGATTCGCTGTCACATGCAACTACTGACGACATTGCTGGGATGGTGGATATGCAGGAAATGAAAAGCCGTCTAGGGGCTAGCTGCATAGGCACGGTACCTTGCGTAAATCCTCTATGGATGACGGAAGCTCTTCTCCATGTACATAAAACCAGGCATTTAAACACGCCTCTACAAGACTCCCAAAAGCTCGGGTTTTCCGCTCTTGCATGCCGTATCAGACCAACCGTTCATCCCCCGGTAACGAATCACGCAATCAGATCGCACCCAGCCCGTGTTCAAGCTCACTGAGCCTGCAGCCACATTGGGACACGTGAAGATAACGGGCCGGTGGAGAAGGGCCAAGTGAGAGAGCCAAGACAGCGCCTGGATCTGGGACCACCGTGGACAGGGAAGGGGAAAAAAAAAAAGCTCGATAAGATCCATCTCGTCGCCAAATCCTAGCCGCTAATTTTCTCGTGCCGGATAAAACCCCATCGCCATCGTCTGATTTGCCAGACGCCCAAAAGAAACCCCAGATGGGTCGTGAATCTAGAGCCTTTACAGCAGGACACCACAATAACGGACCCATCCCTCCTCCAGCAGGTGCCTAGCACCACCACACGCCTCGAACCACACAACTCCCCATCTGCCTTTCCCCCCCTCCTCCACCTCCCCCTCCTCCTGCGCACCATTTTCGAGCCTGCCATTCCGCCGTTAGATCGACACTCGTCCCGCGACAAGCTCACGATATTCGATCGATCGATCTGTCTCGAATACGCATCTAGAAACAAACACTCGCTTGGCAAGCTCCCCGAGACCACCATCGACGTCCTCTCTCGCCCTCGCTGGTAGCCCCGCTACCTTGCACGGCGCACGACGCCTTTTGAGCCACCAAGCACCTATATTCCTTTTAAAGTGCACTCCTAGTGGGGAGGGGCACTGCGGGGGAAGAACACTCGCCCGCCGCAAACATGTGGTGGCTCATCAACGCCTGCTCGAGTGCCATTTTCCTGTTCAGCATCGTCCTCTCGATACCAATCGCTTTCGATGTCGGGGGCCGTGATGCTGGCCTGGCTTATTCGCTATCACTTTTCCTTTTCTACATTTTCTACAGTACCAGCAAGCTTATAACGCCAGAGAAGTCTCGGATACGCTGGTTCTTCAAGAGTCTGGTTGGGTTATCACAATGGATTGTTATACCCGCATTGTTGATTTGGGCTCTCAACCGTTTCTCGGTCGATGCCGATAGTGCCAACTGGGTGTCACGTACGTTTGCCCACGTTACAGGGCAGCACAAGAGCTGGAGAGAGTGGTTTTGGGGGTCTGAAGGCTTTGTGGAAAACGTTGCGTTAGGCTCTTGGGACAATACCTTGAGTTATTCGAGCCCTGTTTTCCAACTTCTCGAGGGCTTCTGCAGCTTGTTGGTGATCCAGGCTGCTGGTCAGATTGCGAGATGGCTGGTCAACCGGGGAAGAAGTGACACCTGGGTGGCACGTATTTTCCTCACTCCCACGCTGTTCTGTGCTCATGCTGACATTAACCCCTCAGATCACGCTCCTGATAATATCAGGTGCCATCAGCTCCATGGCCATTTACTTCTTATGGCGTGTCATGTGCTTCCCACAAATCGGCAACTTCGATGCCACGCTCATCGGCGTTGCCATGACCTCAGCCTTCTTCCTCTGCGGTTTTGGCATTGCCAGCGGCCGAGGGAATCCGATCGAGTCTTCCCTTCTTTTTGCGTACACGGTTCTCTGTGTCTATCAGATTTTCACCGATTATCAGCCCTCGCCCGAGGCTGCCGCCGCGGCGGAAGCTGCCGCTGCTGCGCAGCCGGATTTTCCGCCTCTGCCGCCCATCCTCATGGCCTCCTACACCACTCTGATCCACATGCTCAGCAGCCTTCCGTCGGCTTTTGGTTTATCATTCCAGTTTCTCTACGCGGCATTCCAAACCATCACCCCTAGCGTCATCATCTCGCTGACATATCGCACCATCGTTTTCTATTGCGCTACGAGAATTATTCCGGCTGTTAGAGAGTTGGGTGCTCAGGCTATTATGGAAGAGCCCACGCTCGACGAAAGCGATGGCGCCAACCGTGTTCTTGGTTTCCTCAGCTGGTTTTCGCCTTCTATTCTGATTGCGGTATACACCAGTTTGCTCCTGCAGCACTTTACTATTGCCGATGGCGACGAGCTCGGCTGGACTCTCCGGGCCGGCGATGCTGGTGGCAGTACTTGGCGGTGGATCAACTTGACGGCCACCATGGGACTTTATGCCATCGAGTTGTACCTCGGTGGTGATGGTGACGGTGGCGCGCACTGGAAGACGGACTGAAGAAGTTCTCCCGAGAGAACATTAGCAGGGGGCCGGGGAGGTCAACGGCATGCCAATCCATGGGGCCATCCGCAGCATGGCCGATTGGAAGGGCTTTATTGAAACTCAAGCTGGATGACAATGTCCCAACCAAACGGGATTCCTCGCCGGATACTAATCGGCGTCGAGAAGAAGGAATTCAAAACGGGGAAAGCTATCAGAAGATCAAGGAACAGGGCTACTAAAAACCAAGGATACTAAAGGAAAAAGGGGGACAAGAGGAGGAAGGCAAGATACCCAATGGCTAGGAAGCGCAGGTTATGGAAAGGTGATGCAAAACATATCACCAGTAGAAGAAAGATAAGCATGCAAGTCATTAACAAGATTGACTTGGCAGGACCGCTCGCACGTTCCTCACGCACAACATACGCTTTTTTCATTTTTTTTTCTTCATGACTTTGGCTCCTTTCAATATTGTATTCATAGTAAACAAACCAAACGGGCAACGTGGATGAGAACAGGGAATTGAGAGTCGGAAGCAACGTCTGGCTGGCTTAGGGGGCATCATGTTGCAACATCGTACAATCATACAGCGAATGGCGTTGGTGTCTTTTTATTTTCGTTTTCTTGGACTATGACCGGGGGCCGGAACTGGGACTGGAATTTGGCTGGCTGGCTGGAGCATGTATCATTTGAATTTTCCATATGTCTAAGCACAATTATCAGAGCCTGCCTTTCGATCATAATCTACCGCATAACCCCTTCTACATGCTACAAAATTCTTGCAGCATGGCATTTCTACAGTAACACAACACAAAAGAGACCCAGTATCATTGGAAAGAAAATGCATCATGTATTATTCGCTAATCCCCAACCCATGCAAGTTGACATCTCATAACAACCAACCTCCCTCCTCTTATATACCCCCCCCCGTCTATGTTCAAAACAACCTCAACATCCTCCTCCAAGTCCTAATCCTCCTCCAATCCTCGCTCGTCGCCCCCTTCAAATCATCCACATTCAACATGCCCATCCCCTCCCCAACCAGCACCTCCCAAATCTTATTCCTCACATGAATCGGCCAAGCAGGCAGCTCCCAGTACCTGCTCACCAACCCCCTTTCCTTTGCCGCCGCCAGATGCCCCCTGATCTTGGCCAGCTGCCCAGCTGTTGGCTCGCCCCCCTTCCACCACTGGGTAATACCTATCGACCTGAAGAAGCTCACCGAGGCATAATAGGAGTTGGAGCTGTTATATGGGGAATCGGGTAGAAGTTTATCAAGCGGGGCGTCAAAAAACGCGTCGCGGTCAGGAGGACAGGTCGAGTTGGAGTATTTAGCGGTGGTGGTGGTGGTGGTTGGGTAAGGGGGTGTCAAAATGAGGTCAAAGGGTGTATTCCCCGTGCCCACAACCGTCACAGGCCTCGAGTGAAATTCCCCATCCTCATAAAACGAAAGCCATCCCCTTTCCCTCAGGGGATCAAGTTGCCTCAGCACGTGCGGCCAAGTCTCATGACCCGAGGTCTTGAGATCAATCAGCAAGACCAAAGTCTGGGCAGGGTCGACGTCAAAGACTCCGCTGAGCGTCCCGTTGTAGTACGGTGTTTTGGGGTTTTGCTTCTCCAAGATGTCGACGATGGGGTTGACGTAGAGGGATTGAAACGTGCGGTTTACTTGCAAGGAAGCCAGGTCGTGGCCGACAAGCAGGTCGTTGTTGAATAGCCAGACGTCGGCTTCTACTCCTGTGCACCCCGCGTAGAGGGCGTCGAATAACGGGACGCGGCGCCAGTAGTCGTTGTGGGAGTGGCAGGGGAGGGGGATGACGTCCCGGAGGAAGTCAGTTGGGTACCAGGAGAGATCCTCCGTGCCGGTGTTGGGTTGGCCCCAGTTGACAAAGGGGTCGTAGTCGTTGTGGCGGGCGCCGATGAGGGAGTCTTTGATGGCGGAGAGGAGGTTGAGGAGGAGGATGAGGGCTCTGAGCGGGGGTGTCAGTGAAACTATCATAGAATAGATGAGTGCAGGTATAAACAATAACAAAAAAAAACACATACAACAATCCTACTCCAAGCACCGTAACCCGCAATTGCAACCCCCACGACTTCCACAGCCCCTTCTTCCTCTGCCCTCCTCTCCCATGCCGTGATGATGGTTGCCCGCATTTGCTGCAGCTCGCTGGCTCACCATTCACCGTCTCCACACCCTGCTCTTCATGCTCAAGTTCGCTGCTGGGAATCTCGGTGTATTCCACCTTTACACCGCCCAACTTCCTCTTCTCAAGTGACGCCATGACAGAGGAGCGTATCCTGGCAAAAAACCCGCTCGTTTGGTGTTGTTGTTGTGGTTGTGGTTCAGTTTCGAGGATGAAGGTGGTCGGAGTTGGCGGCGTCGATGACGATGATGGCGGCGATGGTCTCGGCGGATCCACTGTCTCCTCCCCGACGATCTCCATGCTGCTGGCAGACGGCCCCACCGAGACCACTTCTGGGCGCATTGATGTGCTGGCCTGTGATTTTTGGATTGTACACGCTTATAGATATGGCTGTTTTCTGTTGATGAATTGAGGATGTTGTCAGATAGGTAACTGTTGATGTGACCTATTGTAGGAGAGGATGTGGTAAATCAACGGCTGAAAGGCACATGACACTCGCCACTCGATGCTGCCCTTGTACTTCACTGGGGAAACAGCTAGCCTGGAAACGTGTGAGCATGAGAGGTCGAGAAGGCACAACCAGAAAAAGATCAAACTGGGACGAGGCAACGAGAAGAAGACAACGTTTATAGTAATCCACTGGCAATTGGCCCGCCGGGGTTTTGGTCATGAAGAAGGCGTTTAGGTTGGTCTGGACCCTGAAATGGTTACACTCATGGCTTGCTGACTGCTGCCCTTAACCTGCCGCCTGATGCTGTGTCGGATCCCACAATGTTGTTCAGTGGGGTTTGGGTTGCATAGCTTTGACAATGCCTATTACGAATGAGGATACTATGGGGAACGGATTCCAACCAGCAGCGAAGACGACGATATTGATTGGTTTGAATTGTCAGATGGGATGAACTGGAGATGTCAAAAGGTCAGCGCGATATGTAAGCCCCAACTGAGGGTTAGGGTCACTCCTCCACTTCAGCCCACTCCAGCCCAACCCACTATCTTATCTTATCGTCCCAATCGGCGCGACCAGCCAAAAAAAGTTTTGGAGCAGTCGCAGCTCAATCAAACTCGCCCATTTCTGCAGGTTCAAATCGCATTCAAAACCACAACCACCCCGATCCCCACCAACCCATCACCAAGTCGCACACCAAGCACGACAAGATGGCCAAGAAGGGCGCAAAACTCGCCGCAAAGGCGCCAATCGCCAAGTCGCAATCAGACGGAGTCACAGACAAGAAGAACAGAAGAAAGTCCAACGACCCACCAGTCGAAGCCCCCATCGCCGAAACCAACGAGGACGAAGAGTGGGAAGATGAAGACAGCGAGGAGGACTCCGACTTGGAAGAAGAAGGGGGCGGCGTCGACTTTTCCAAACTAGAAGACATCAACGACTCCGACTCCGACTCAGAAATCAACAATTCCGACTCCGAAAACGAGGACAACGACGAGGAAGAAGAAGAAGAATCCGAAATCGACGTCGACGACCTCAACCTCGACGACATGGACCCCGAAGAAAAGGAAGAACTCGCCGCCACCACCCGCGTCCGCCAAACAATCAACAACAAGGACGCCCTCCTCGCCGCCCTGAAGCGCATCTCCCTCGTGCCCACCGACATCAAGAAGGCCGCCTTGGTCCCCTTTGCTTACCACATGACCCTCGTCACGTCCAAGCCCACCCAAGAAGTCATCCCCTCCATCGACGACGACCTCGAGCGTGAGCTCGCCTTCCTCAACGCGGCGCGCGAGTCGGCTCTCAAGGCGAGGAACTTGCTCAAGAAGGAAGGGGTGCCGTTTACGAGACCTACCGATTACTTTGCCGAGACGCTCCGCAGTGATGAGACGATGGAGGCGGTGAAGCAAAAGATGATTGAGGCCGCAACGGCGAAGAAGGCTTCTGCCGAGGCGAGGAAGCAGAGGGACTTGAAGAAGTTTGGAAAGCAGGTTCAGGTGCAGAAGCAGCAGGAACGGGCCAAGGAGAAGAGGGCCACGTTGGAGAAGATTAATGAGTTGAAGAAGAGTATGTTTTCCGTACTCCCCATTCCCCGTGCAATTTTAGCTAACACACAGAAATAGAACGCAAAGACGGCGGCTCTGCCTCCCTCGGTGCGAGGGAAGCAGACGACATGTTTGATGTCGCTGTTGATAACGAGCTTGGCGGCGGCAACAAGGCTGGCGGCAAGAGAGGAAGGTCAGGGGGTGATCATGGTCCTCCTAATGCCAAGCGTCAGAAGAAGAATGAAAAGTATGGGTTTGGGGGCAAGAAGAGGTTCGGCAAGAGCGGCGATGCGATTAGCTCGGGGGATATGTCGGGCTTCAGCGCGAAGAGGATGAAGAACGGGGGTGGGGCGGGTGATGGGAAGAAGACGACGTTTAGTGCTATGAGTGCGAAGGCGAAGGGGAGTAAGCCTAGGTTGGGGAAGGACAAGAGGAAGGGCGGGGCGGGGAGGAGGTAAGCCCAGAGGTGGGGGTGGTAAATGTGTAATAGGAAGAAGGGAGTGCCTGTACAGTGATTTTTTTATGGTAATGCTACGGGGCACAATAAATGTCTAGCGTCAACAAGGGAGATATCCTGGTTGGTTTTGAGTGTCTTGGTGTTGCTTTTGAGGGTGGCTGGTGAGGTGGTGGGTTTACTTGAAGGGGGTCGTATTTACTAACACCCTACTGGCGCAACAACGGTTACATGATGGCGAGACTCTCCTTGTCCACAGGATCTAGTTCACTCAATCTGTACCCGAAACATGAAGCCAAGACGGAGGGCAGCATCCCCGAGCTTTGCTCAGCTTCGGCAAGGTTGTTCCCAATAAGTTGAGCACAAAGGAGGATTGGTCTTGGCAGTTTGCTTCTAGAAGGACCGAGACATTGTTGAGTCCTCGACAACAAAGAACAAAGCGGGATGGCTGAAGAGGGGGGTTGTATATGGGACGGCCAGTGGTTGGTCAATTCAACGAGTTGGGTTGGTGCTCAGCTCTTTGATATTTGGGGATGTGAGTAGGAGCTTAGAGGGAAGTCCAAAGTCAATTACGAGGGCGACGCAAAGTAGAAGAGCCTCATGATGGTGAATTTTGGATTTGCTATGAGTCGATCCGTCTCGGAAAAACATATATACAACTCCATCACCACCCCCATTCTCTTATTGTTGCCCTGTTCCATTCCTCCTCCGTTTCGATAGCAGACTTGGTTGCGCACGCTACCAACCAACCGTTTACCTATATACCCCCCCTTCAGGTCCTTTCCCAGAGCGTATCATCATTCTTGATCCCTCCCCCCGTTGAACCACCTCCGCGTCCCCCCCCCTTCCCCATAACCGTAGCCACACCATTGACTGCCCGCCCTACGCCACAACTAACCTATTCACACTCTCACACCAGCACCCTTCCCAAAAACATATTTCATTTCACCAGGACACATCACTATCACCATCCTCCCCGTCACAAGAGGCAGAAAAGAGGAACAAATACTCAAAACCAATACCCAAAAAAACAAAACCAAAAAAAAAACACAAAACGCTCCATTGAATTGCCCTATCCCAAAACCAATTCGTTTACCAATTGATAAAACAGACATAACTCACATATACACACCAAAGAGAAAAAAAACACCCTTTCAGAGTTCAATGAATTCGTCTTCTTTTTGCCTAAAAAAAGGGAGGAAAAAAAGGTGGGGGGTCATGATATGAGGATTGATTTGCTCCAATCGAAACAAAAACCAAAAAAAACAAGCAAAAGAAAAGCAAAAGTCGAAGCGGAAGAAGAATACTACTAGTAAAAAAAATAGGGAACATGTTTGGAAAGAACCGGACCCGACACCAACCCACCCCATGGACCGCTCACACCTACAAACTATATCTCTGCTTCAAGGTCCATTCCTGTCTGTGTTGTCTGTCCGCCCAGTTCTCCCAGTTGTTTCTCTCTCTCTCTCTCTCTCTCTCTCTCTCTCTCTCTCTCTCTCTCTCTCTCTCTCTCTCTGTGTGTGTGTGTGTGTGTGTGTGTGTGTGTGTGTGTGTGTGTGTGGTGTGTGTGGTGTGTGGTATCGTTTCGCAACGCCATGCATGCGGAAAAAAAGAAAAAAAAAAAAGACATGAACAAGTGCCCACATATATGCTTTGCCCCGTTCTTTCAATCCCCATCCCTTCCTCCCAAGAACGACGCCGTCAAACTACAACCATGAACCCCCAATGCCAACCCCAGTCCCCAAACGCAACAAATCACACGCTGTGCCCCTTAACCATCAACCCCCTAGATTTTCGTGCCAGTAGACATTAGGGATAACGCCATGCAAGAGAAGCAAGTCCCGGTATTAAAACGAGAAAGAAAACAAGCCGGGAGGGGTATCAATAATGACCATTGTTGGGAATTTCTTTCCTCTTTCCTGTTCGCGATGAAATTCAACCTTTGCGCTTCGGCTAGCTCGCTTCGTATTATTGCGTGGCGGCAATGCACCAGTGCCGGTGAAAGGCCCAGGCGCTCTTTTGGCATTCTTTGCTGCAGTACTTGGTTCGTCGACAGCGGCGGCATTTAGCAAATTGCCGCGTGTACTCTTCCCATTTCCCGCACTGGTAGTAGGCACATTGTCGGATGCCGCCGCGGGTGTCGTCCTTCCGGCACAGGTTTCTCATAACTACCCCGGCCCAGTATTGCATATCGGTGCTGTGGTACCGGACCGTGAACTTTTCCACTAAGGGGAAGATGTTGAGGTCATTGGGAAGTAGGTATTCCTCTTCACATGTCTCGTCTTCCTCCTCGAGCTCGGCCTCGAGGGCTGCCGGATCGGCTCCATCAAGAAGTTGAATTTCCTTGCCAATCTTGAGCTTAGGAACCAGGTGACTTTTTTGGAAGTACTTTCGGAGGTTGCAGTATTTGGAAACGTAGGCGAGCAGTTGGAGAGACATCAAAACGTCTTCTTCCCTGGGCATAGCGGCAAGCATTTGTGGATTTGGTGTGACTTGACGATCGAGCAGGTAACGAGGCACTGTCGCGTTTGGCATCGATGGCTGCTGTGGGCTCACCATCGTCGGTCTGTTTGGCGACAAGCCAATTGCAGGAACTGGCGTCGGGGTCGGATTGGTGACAATGCTGCCGTCTACCGGCCCTTGATGTGTGATGTTGAAAGTGCCGGCTTCCTGAGTCTCGGATACCGTGGGCGTTGTCAGTTCCATGGCGGTGCCAGTCATCATACCCTCGCCATCCTCCATGGCAATGTCCTGAATTCCTACGGCCGGTTGGATTTCGGCCGTCTCAGACATCTCAGTATCGGGCGTTTCATCCGATGCAACACTTTCAGCATTCATATCATCCGACTCGGCAGCTGTCGAGTGCTGATGGCGGATAGATGGTCGTTGGCGAGACCGAGCAGCGGCGGTGAGCATGGTGGCAGGTCGCACGGTAGGAGAACGAATCTGCGGTGGCGGAAGTGGAGTGGTGGGTGACGCCGGCTGAGATGTCAAGGGAGGCCGAGCAAATGGCAGCGGTACGATTCCAACCAAGCGATCCGCATCCCGTGTCGGCCTGACAAATCCATCGGCGGCATCCATCGATGGTACGGACGGGGCAAGGATCACGTTGGGCGTGAGAGCCATAGGTGGGCGAGCCTCGTGCGTCCTGCTCGTGTGATGGTGATGGGGGTGGTGTCCCGCCAAAGGCGTCCGATCGGCTGGTGGCGTTACCTGGAATTGCGGAGCAGTGGGTGTGGCCTCAGAATTGGACTGTATGACTGTGGTGGAAGGGCCGGCGAACGGGGCAGACACGTCAATTGACGGCGGTGGCGCTTGTCTTCTGAAAGTCTCCAATGCGCCGGATCTTGATGAGAAACTGGAGGATTTGTGCGCCCGGCTGCTGCCACCAACCCGGTGATGATGATGGCGGTCCTTGTGCTTGGCTTCCTCGGCCTTTGCCCGTACGTTTTCAATGACTTTGATGTAGTTGTCGAGGATTGTGGCAATCACGGGGACCATGTCAGCCTCTACCACCCGAGTCCGAACAGCTTCTGTGCCCCTAACGCCTATGTTGACGACACATTGGAAAGCCAGATTCCACTTCCACATGTCCATCATGTCTTTGCTGCGACCCTGCTTCAGGATGCAGACCAACCTTTCGATGCCGCCATCGACGGTCAAGATGTCGCGGATGCGAGCCGACGATGTTGTGAGGTAAGCGAGATGGTTGAGAGAGTTGATCAGGGGCAGGGTCGACGTGCAATCGAGGGCGCGTCGGTCGTAAAGGGCGGTGGTAATGCCCACCGACGCCTTGTTGACATTGGGTATGCTGAAGTTGACTTCCCTCATCTTGGCTCGCCTCCACGGAACACGAGGTAGGCACCAGACAAGGAGAAGAGATGATGATCAGGAGAGGTTGGCCGCCGTAATTCGATGCCCGGCGTGCGATTGCGTTTTGATGGGGGGGTTAGAAATGGCGTGCCCTATGCGTTGGCAAAAGAGATGGTTAGAGATGAAACGCATTTCAAAAGGTTTATGCGTCCATAAAGGAAGGGGTAGAGCGAGGGCGTACCCTACTCTCTAGGATCGGCAGACGCCCTCGCGAAGGGCGAAACCAGCGTGTCTACGTACAGAAATGCCCAAGGTATATAGTTGATGGTAGGCCGCAAATGCAGAAAAAGGGCGTTGCAGAGATGAAAATGAGGATAATCCGAGTCGGCGCCGACCAAATGCCTCAGCCGCGATGGAGAGGATGGTGTCGGTGTCGGTCTGCTGTGCCACTCACGGGCAAGCTGTTGATGGCAATGGACGTGACGGTCTTGGGTTGCAGCAGTCGGTCGAATGCTGCTGAAGATTCGGTGATGGAGAGAGTGTTTGGGTGTGTGACGGATGGGCTCGCCGTGCCTGATGGTGTGAGAGGCTGGGTTGTCTGGGTTCAGTTGGAGCAGGCGAGCTGCTGGTTTTTTGCAGTCTTGGGCCCTGGAGAATGTCCAGAACATTACAGGTTGGCCCAGCCTGTGTTAGTGGCTAGATGGATGCCTAAGGCCAACACCACCCGCGCTTGTGGGCCCAAATTTGTACCAAATTTCCAAGTCTCGGCACCACATCCGACCGACATCGCGCTTGCATATTCACATTCATCACAGGGTAAAATTGTATGTTCTACAAGAGATTTGCTCTTTTATTCCGTCTATTTTACTTTCATCACCCCATCATCTCCGCTGGGAGACCCGGAGACTCGAGGAGAAAGCTTCCATGTCGGCTGACTAGGTACTTCCAGGTACTTGTTGTCTAGGGGCGAAGCGGAGCCCTAACAGCCTTTCAAGGATGGGGGTCCACGGTCGAGGTCTTTTGCTGGGTGCCAAAGAAAGCTGGAAGGGGCAAAATTCACAAGCAGCTGCGGGGTGAGATGGAGGATAACCCACCACCAACTACTCACCGAACCCTAGCACGCGATGCCAATAGACCACACACACTCTCTTCTGAATGACATGGGAGTTCATGCAACAATTGAGGGGGGCA